TACAAATACTACTTCTTCCAGCTCAGCAAGTGCCACGCCTGCAAGTTTGTTATAACATACTTCTTCATTATGTTATTTCCTCACATGTAATGAATGCTTTAAATAGCTTTTCTGGTTGTTAGTTCTCTCTCTCTTCTTCTTCCCTTTTCTCCCTAAATTTCGTTTTCCTCTTCTATAAAATTCTCTGTAAATTGCTGAAGTTCATCATTGGAGTTAACTGTGTTCATTAGATTTTCTGGTCTTTGAATATTTGTTATGGTATCAAAGCCTAACAAGGTCAGTTGTTCGTTTTTCGATTGCGTTGAAGTTTTCGCTCAGATTTATCGATTTTTGTGGTTGATATTCTGGTTGCTATATAATTTTTTGAGTACTTAGAACTCTGTTGATTGTTTGGTTGAAGTGTTGATTGATTGATTGGAGTTATTTTTTGGGGTGAATCACTGATTTGTTGAAGTAAATTCGAGTTAGTTCAATTTGAATCTATTTTTTTTTTATTGAATTTTTCGACCAAAGGAATACCTAGATCATCTCACCATGCCTGAATCAAATAATCTTGTTCTCACAAGTGATCCTTCTAGTGTCTACTTCATCCATCCCTCAGAAAACCCTGCCAATCCTCTAGTTACAGAAAAATTTACTGGAGAAGGCTATAATGAATGGAAGAGAAGCATGATTACAACTCTTTTTGCCAAAAATAAGTTGAGTTTTATTGATGGAACATTGTTAAGGCCAACTTCTGGACCTGAGGATCAAGCATGGGATCATTGCAATGCAATGATCACAAGTTATATTCTGCATTCAGTTGATAGCAACATAGCTAGGAGTGTTTTGTATTTCACTTCTGCAAGGGAAATCTGGAAGGATCTTGAGGAGAGGTATTCACAAAGTTCAGGTCCTCAATTGTATACCTTACAGCAATCTTTGAGTGAATTATCTCGATGTTCAACTCCTATTGCTTAGTTTTTCACAAATATCAAAGCTATATGGGATGAAATTAATGGTGTGAATCCTATACTAGTGTGTACATGTAGTGGTTGTACATGTGATTTGACTCAGAAGATTGTGAAACAGCAGTAGGAAGAGAGACTAGTTCAGATGTTGATGAAGCTGGATGGTAGATATGCTGGTATGAGAACAAACATTTTGATGATGCAACCTCTGCCAAATATCTCAGTGGCTTATAGGTTATTGATGCAAGAAGAAAAACTAAGACAAGCTAGCATGCTAGATGATAGAAATAACATGGAATTTGCAGCTGATGGAAGGAGGTACAATCAGTACTATATACCTCCAAGACCTGCATGAAATGTCAGATACCAGAACACAGGACATATGAGGCCAACCACTAATTTTTCTTCAGGAAATGGAGGATTTGTGCCTAATATGAGGTGAAATTCTGGTCTATTTTGTGGTCATTGTAAGATGACAGGACACACTATAGACAAGTGCATCAAGATACATGGATATCAGGCAAACTTTGGTTAGAACAAGTACAAGGGCAAGAAGATTGCTACAATAGTTTATGGAGATGAGGAGGCTGAAGGTGACAACAGCTTTAAGACTGCTCACATTTCTATGGGGCAGTACAATCAGTTTCTTAATCTGGCGAACCAGGAAGATCAACATTCTAGAGGCAACAGTGCTACAAGTGTGTAACATGGGTCACAATCTTGGCCAGCTTATGTTGCAGGGACCTGTTTTTTGACCTGATTCTTCTATAGATTTTGTTTGATACTTATCATAAATACAAAGTATCCAAACATTATCACTGTGGCTGATGGAAAACAAGTGGTAGTTGAACACATAGGAATTGTTAAGTTCCAAAATGGGATAGAGCTGAAAAAATGTGTACATGTCCCTGGTTTTCAGTTCAATTTGATATCCACACAAAAATTATGCAAAGATCTTGGTTGTGACATAAAGTTCACACAAGATACTTGTGTTATTCAGGATCCTGTACAAAACTCTTCCCTGGTTAGCTAGAATCTGGCTTATATGCTGTAGCAGAAGGAGATGAATCTCAACAACATAATAAGGCAAGAAAAACTGGTATGATTTCTGTCTCGAGTTCAGAAGATGCTAAACTTTGGCATTTAAGGCTAGGTCACATGCCTTTTCAATAAACTGCATCATGTTAAGGATATGTTTTCTTGTAATATAGAACATGACATTATTTTTCAAATATGTCTTAAGGCAAGATAGACTAGGCTTCCCTTCCCTAAGAGTCATATTAAGAGTTCTGCCAGTTTTGAACTTCTTCATATAGACACTTGGGGTCCTTACAAGTTAAGCACACATGAGGGTTTTACTCTATTTTCTTACCATTGTTGATGATTACTCAAGAAGTATAATTTGATGCTGTGAAAATCATGGAAAATTTTGCTATACTTGTTCAAAACCAGTTTAATGCAAGTATAAAGTGTATAAGATCCGATAATGCTAAAGAGCTGTGTGAGGGTGAAATGTTAGTTTTCTACCAGAAACATGGTATAGTGCATCAAAGGAGCTGTATTGGCACACCTCAGCAAAATGGGGTGGTAGAAAGAAAGCATAGGCATCTGTTAGAGACTACTAGGGCTCTATATTTTCAGTCAAAGGTTCTTGACCAGTTTTTGGGAGAGTGTTTGCTTGCTGCAACACATCTCATTAACATAATGCTATTAAGCTCAATTGGTTTTGCTAGTCCTTATGAATGGCTATTTGGCACAAAACCTGTCATAGATCACTTGAGAGCCTTTGGCTGCCTTTGTTATGCTTCAACTCTCAAATCACATAGAACCAAGTTTCAACCAAGAATTGTTCCTTGAATTCTTGTTGGCTATCCACCAAAAGGCCTATAAGCTATTTGATCTTGAGAGTAAGAAAATTTTCATCTCTAGATATGTAATTTTGCATGAGAAGCACTTTCCTTACCATTTCTCTTCACCAAACCTAAACCCTTTTTCTTACCTACAATCACTCCTTTTACCCTAGACACAGACTTCACTGTCCCTGAACCTTTTGTTCTACATACAGACAACTTACCTCATACTCCACCCAATAACCCTAACACACCACAAAATACACCACCTTATACTTCACCCAATAACCCTACAACTCATGACATTCCTGATTTTGCAGTAAACATAGATCTTGTCATTGATCCAGTTCCTTCTCAAACAAATCCAGTTCCTATAAGACAGTCTTCCAGACTTGTCAAACCCCCATCTTGGATGATTGATTATGTTACTGGTGCGGTTCATCTTTGATGACCTACCTTCACCTCATAAGGCCTTAATTTCTCAAATTGGTGAAGTTACAGAGCCAACTAGTTATTTTGAGGCATCATAGAATCCTGACTAGGTATCTGCTATGCAAAAGGAAATTCAGGCACTTATGGATAACATACATGGGATCTGGTACAATTACCTAAGGGCAATAAGGCAATAGGATGCAAATGGGTGTACAAGTAAAACTCAAAGCAGATAGGACCATTGAAAGGTTCAAAGCCAGACTTGTGGCTAAAGGTTTCACTCAAAGATATGGGATTGACTTTGAGGAAACCTTCTCACCTGTGGGTTAAAATGGCTATAGTAAGATGCTTACTCTCTTTGGCTGCCAGCAAGCATTGGTATTTACATCAACTTGACAAAAACAATGCCTTTCTGCATGGCAAACTTGACAGAGGAAGTTTACATGAAGGTCCCTGATGGCATTCCTAATCCAGATGTTCTTGTTTGCAAGTTGAAAAGATCACTATATGGACTTAAGCAAGCTTCTAGACAATGGTTTGCTAGGTTGAATTTTGGATTGCTTAGTAAAGGGTTCACTCAATCCAAGAATGATTATTCACTTTTCTTGAAGAAAGCTGATACTGATATCACTATTGCTGTCATCTATGTAGATGATATCATCTTTACTGGAAGTGATACTGCTACAGTCCTTGATCTTAAGACACACTTACATCATGTCATCAGTATCAAGGATTTGGGGAGACTTAATTTCTTCCTAGGAATTGAAGTTACACATACTCCTCAGGGAATTATCTTGTCTCAAAGAAAATTCACTAAGGAGTTACTTCAGGATTGTTTTTTGGATGTTTCAAAGACAGCAAAGACTCCTCATCCTGTCAATCTACCGGGTCGGCGGGTCATCGGATCGGGTCAACCGGGTCGGGTGTTTTTGAACACCCCTAATGTCTGCTACTGCTTCAGAGATCACTTGGCTGGTTAGATTATTGCAGGAGCTTGGTAATTCTGATTTGTTGCCTGTAAAGCTTAACTGTGATAATCAAGTTGCTATACATATTGGGAAGAACCCTGTCTTCCATGAGAGGAAAAAACATATAAAATTGACTGCCATTTCACCAGGGATAAGGTGCTTGAAGGCCTTATTGAACTTTCTTATGTTTCAAGTGCTGATGAGTTGGCTGATTTGCTCACTAAGCCATTGTCTGCTGCTCAACATGTTGAACTCAGTTCCAAGCTAGGACAAATTGATTCTCAATCACCTTCTAGCTTGAGGGGGGGGGGGTATACAGATTCTACTTCTGCCAGCTCAGCAAGTGCCACGTCTGCAAGTTTGTTATAACAAACTTCTTCATTCTGTTATTTCCTATGTAATGAATGCTTTAAATAGCTTTTCTAGTTGTTAATTGTCATAATAACAATTACAGAAACTTCTTTTTCTAAAAGTTCTCTCCCTCTTCTTCTTCCCTTTTTTCTCCCCTTCTTCTCCCTAAATTTAAGTTCATCAATGGAGTTAACTGTGCTCTTCAGATTTTCTGGTCTTTGTATATTTTGTCATATATATAATACAATTAGATCATATATACCTTTAAGTAACTTGGTGATTGCAAAGTAAATTAACTCGGTCTTTAAATTAGCTAAAGACCTAAAATACACATAGATCATCTATATCAAACAGCATTACTAAAGTAATTCGCCACCAAAAGTTGCTAAAATCGTCAACCATTGTACTGTGCACAGGTCATCCTTTCATGAAAATAACCACCAGAAAGAAAAGGTAAAACATTGCTTATGAAATTTAAGGTACATTCATCACATTAGACAATTGAAATTCAAAACACTCTTTAAATGGAAAGTTTCACACATTCGAAAACCCTAAAAACGAACAAAAGAAAATTACATCTCAACATCTAGAAGCACAAACTAACCCTGCGCATACTAGTAGATGCACATAGATTATTCAACATACAACAAAATTAAAAGCCTTCAACTCTGGCCTGTACATGAGGTCACATCCAAAGGTACAAAATGGCAAAAACTATAACGAAATTGAAAAACCGAACTCCATAACTAACTAGTGGTGGCCAGGCAACTTGTCCTTAATCTTGTCCATTAGACCTTTCTTCTCAGCGGGCTCATCCTCATGGTGCTGGATTGTGGTAGTGGTGGTTGTGGCCATGGTGGTTGTCGCGGTATGGTCTACCTCCTGATCCTTGTGCTTCCCACCCGGCATTAACTTATCCTTGATTTTCTCCCCCAATCCTTTCTTCTTCCTTCTCCCACCCGTGGGTGTATGTCCTTCTTCCTCGGACTACAGCAAATTCAACAAAGAATATATTGCATTGAGATTAATTAAATGAAATTCAACAATTGAGTATTTTTTTATATCCAATTTTTAGACTACAATCATATAATGTGTGTGAAGCTCAAAGATTCCATAACACTTAAAAAAAAAAAAAAATCATGTATATAAAATTTTAGAGCTCATGACTATTTATTTTTATTTATAAAAGATAAGGGGGGAAAAAAAAAAAAAGCCTTATTAGATAACCGGGAAAATTTTAAAAGCTCATACTACAATTGACATAAAAATATAGTACATAAAAATTTTGATACGATGTACTAGGACTATTACTCGTATTAGGGGCCGACCTATTCATGTGCACAGTGATATACATGACTCACCAATAAAAAAAAAAATTGATTTCATGATTTTTGCCCTGCTTTCTTTTATAATTAAAGAGACCTATTATATTCAATAATCTCTCAAGTTATCTCAGCTTTTTTTTTTTTCATAAAAAAATAATAACTTTTGCCTCTATTTATATCTTGTATTTGTGCAACCAATTTTAATATTTTCCCTCAAAGCTTATCAATTAAGTAAAAAATCATAAAGTTAATGTAATACTCCGTAGTTTTATAGTACCATTTGTTTATAACATGTTATTTTAGTACTTTCGACCTATAAGATTGAATTTTTAAGTATTATTTGGTGGTAGTATGAATTTTTATGTCCTATTTTGGATTGAAATTTATTTGGTGAAATATTATTGTTATAGATCTGGAAAAAAAATTTGTATTTTCACAAGTGATTTGAAAGTGACTCACCATCTCGAAAATCATGAATCCGCCACGGACTCATATCTGCCTTAGAAAAATGGTTACTTATTTTTAGGTCAAAGTTTAAATTTCTTTGACTAAATATATATTGTCAGTTTCACTCATAAACATATACATCAAAAAATCATCGTATGAATCCTATTACATTCGTCTTCACGAGTATTTTAAATGTATCAAATATTTATACACGCATGCAATTATAAAGGATATTAATTGTCAAAATGTTTGTTTTTTTAAGGGAGAGCAAACAAATTAGTTAGTTTACACATTTTATTTTAACAAATTACTATTTATCAAACATGGAGTCATGGAGAGAAATTTTCTTGCAATATTATGAAATGAAACGATATATTGCATGAAGTTACTAAGAATATATACTAACCGATTCACCGGAGCTCGTGCCACTTCGTCGAATCTCTTTAGTAACAATACCAACAGCAGTCCCTCCTGGCTGATCTCTCCTCGGCTGGTGCTGCCCGCCTCCCAAAACATCTCCTAGCGTCCCAGGGGCACGGTGTCCGGGCTCATCATGACCATGCATGCCGCCACCGAGAGTCGCGGACGGCATCCCGCTAGTCATGGGACCTCCATGAGTTCCATGAGCTGCGCCACCAAGTGTCGAAGATTGCATCCCAGTGGTCAAGGGATTTTTTGGTAACACGGCATCACGAGTGGCAGAAGAGTGCGTCCCATGGGTGGCCGTAGAACTGTCATGTCCCACGCCACCATGAGTCCACCCGTGGGTGTCTGAGAGGTTGTCATGTCCCACGCCAGTATGAGTCGTAGTAGACTGCATCCCATGGGTGCCTACGCCGTGGGTGCCCATGAGATTGTCATGTCCCACGCCACCACCATGAGTCTTATTAGACTGCATACCATGGATACCCATGGGATTGTCATGTCCCACGCCACCATGAGTCGTAGTCGTAGTAGAGTGCGTCCTATGGGTACCCATGAGATTGTCATGTCCCACACCACCACCATGAGTTGCAGCCCCGCGGGCGCCCATGAGACTACCCATGAGATCGTCATGTCCCACGCCACCATGATTACCCCGCGGGTACCCATGGTACTGTCATGTCCTACGTCACCATGAGTCGCAGTAGAGTGCAACCCGCGGGTGTCCACGGGGTTACCATGTTCATCAGTACAAGCGACGCCGGTGAGATGAATGGGATGGCCATGTTCATCAGTAAGCTTAACTGGATGACCATGCTCGTCCGTCAGCTCAACCGGATTACCATGCTCATCCCTTAAATGTTGTTGTTGTGATGCCATCTTCTCCTAACAAAAACACAAATTTTTTTCCTATATGATTTTTCTTACACTACTTCAAGTAACTTTTTTATTTTTACTTTGCTCTAACTTTGGATAGTGATATGATTTTAATTTAGAAAGAGGATAACAATATGATGAAAGAGGTGATAGAGATATAGACAAATTACGTTGCATGGAACAAATAGAGTAGTGGAGCTTTGTGTATGGTTTTAGAGAAGAGAGTAAACACGTGTTTGATAGATATCGTGAGGTGCTTCCACGTTTGTAATTATATGGTTGATTAGTGTCTTAGTGCAAGGTTAACACGTGCTACGGATGTTTTCGGTTGGCTGATGACTATTGAGTTGGGATGTTTTCGGGTAAGCTCTACGCTGCAAATACATCTACTTGTATTATTATACATTTAAATGTATCATGTGCACGATTCACTAGTTGAAAAATATGCTTATTTATCTTGTTTAAACTTATTATTCTATGCTCATTTTTGTTTAAACTTATCTTATTTATACTTATTATCTTAAATTATTTACACCGTATCCATAAATTATTATTAATGCAATAACTTAATTACTATTATTTTTTTTATGGCAGAACTTAATTACTATTAATGATGAGTATCAAAACTTTTGTATGAATTAGATAAGTAAAGCAAAACTGAGCTTATTAAATTAACAACTGTATGAAAAATAGTTTTGAGATAAGCATAATTTTGCTTATTTTAATGAAAAAAATTGCACTTTTCAATAGATAACTTGCAGGGGAAAGAGTTAAATTCCAAGTTAAGAGATGTTAAGGAAAATCATATCACCAAATTAAACAATATAAAAACCTTGTATAATGTATATTATGATATGGAGTTACACTTATATTAGGATATATTCCCCTTATTTTAAGATTGTTTTAATACAAATAAGATAAGAGAATTAAAATTCAAGTGACAAGAACACTCTTTTGAGCTAAGTCTCTTGAAAGTGAAATTTTTAGTACACCCAAGTGTACCATGCTTGGTACACTAGATGAAAAACTATAGTAATTTTGTTGTTTTTTTTAGAAAAAAGAAAAATCAGTTTTTAAATATGTCTTGCTTAATTGAAGGAATTTGTTAATTATATCCATATTTACAACTTTCAAAATATTAATCTCCATAATTCTCGATAATTTAATTTGTGAAATATAGAGAGAATTCGTTTAGAGAGAGAATTGACGGTGCGTGGTGAATTTCATCACGATTATGATCGAAGATCTCATAATAATGCTTATTAGAATGATACTTTTGAAAATGAAGGTTGAATTAAGGAGTTCATGACCAAATAAAAGGTAGTTTTTAGAATTTTTTATTTTAAATTTCATAATTTTGGTGTTATTGATGAAAATGATGATTTTTATTATTATTATATTTTATTATTATTATTGTTAACAAATTCGTTATTGAAAGTATATAATTCAATTAATTTTAGTTTCTACATTTTTTTTCTTGAATTCGTGTTATTTCTAAGGTTGAAGGATGATGTTCTTCATATTATGATGAATGTTCTTTTAAAATTAAATAGAATGAAATATATACTTTCTAGTCTGATCAATATATGTTTATTGAGTCTGAACTATATGTTCTTTTTACATAACAAAATATGTTCATTAATGTATGTAGATTAAAAATGTTCCTTGGATTTTAACAATACGAAGTATGTTCTTTTTACTTGAATAGTATGTTCTTTACTTTTATATAATCATCCAATGCATGGTTTATTATCAATTTTGATATTTGATGAATCTATATATTAAATTTGAGATTTAATGTTTATTTTCAATTTTGATATTTGATGAATCTGTATATTAAATTTGAGATCAATCTGACAAAGGTTGAGGAGCGATGTTCTTTTTAAATATGGTTAAGTTCATTGTTATCAAACTAATTGCTCTGAAATCAATGATGAATTTTAATTTAATTCACATGTTCTATTTAAATATTACTTATATATATATATATATATATATATATATATATATTTTGTGAAGCCAAGAAAGCATAATTATATTAAATCAATTTCTGCCAAAGTATGAAGGCTTTGGGGAAAAGAGTTCGTACAAATAAGTTCCGAGTTTGCATTCACAACCCATCGAGCAACCAAGTGAGCTAATGAATTACCACTCCTTTTCACATGCTTACATTGGAAAAAATTAAACAAATTACTAACAGTAGAGATATCCTCATAAAGAAGAAAAATAGGAGCATGCCCCTTTTGCCTAGACTGAATAGCACGAGTTACTTGCAAAGCATCACACTCAGAGGACCACTTCATCATAGCCAAGCCTATATCCAAGCTCCACCCCAAAGCGCGCAGCACCAGCCTCTACCATATATAACCGGACTCTAGTGAACATCAATGTGCTTCATAGCAGCTGGTAACAGATGCCCTCTTGACCCTCTAATCACTGCTCCAAATTTTATCCCCTGCACTGCATCACATGAGCATCTACATTAATTTTCACCCTTCCACTCAACGGGGGCTACCAAGATCCTCTCAAAGCAGGAGAAGACCCCCCACTTGGCTTGCAAACTTTAACATTATAAGCACAATAGTCGTAGAAAATCTTCACAAACCCAGTGCCAATACGCACAGCATCAACACTAGTTCCACCCTTGAAAATGGGGCTATTTCTACAATGCCATATAGCCCAAGCCAGAGAAGCAAAAACACTCAGGCGTTCTTTGCTAACCATCACAGCCATCCATAGCATCAAAAGAGGTTGTAGGAGCAGTATTTAATGAATCACCAAAGCCACTCCTCTCCCATATCGCCACTGCATAAGTACAACTAAATAGTGAATGCATGATGGACTCATCATCACATCCACATATAGAGCAGCGAGAAGAAGCACTTATGTGGTGCCTATGAAGCACTCCCATTACTGCCAACAACCCCTTACACGCACTCCATAAAAAATGGTTGAGTTTAGGAGGACCTCCAACACTCCAAATCAACTTCCACAAGGAATTAGAATTTTCCCCATGGAATAGATCCTGTTTGGGTCCAATTTAGTCCAATTGGGCCTGGTCACTGAATGATCCAATTAAAAGCCCAAGGCAAAGGTTCAACTCTCCAAATATGCTAAAGTCAAAAATCAACATCCTCAAAGCCATGTCAAGGTCAGTCAACGGCCCAATCAGCTTGGCCCAGCCCAACTGATTTCCGGGCCCAATCCGCCTCCTTCATTAGCCAAGGTATAAAAGCCAACAATTTGGTCAATTCTTGGTAAGAAGAGTAAGACAAAAAAGACAAAGACAATAAAGCCTCAAGCAACTAAACTCTTGCACAGCTTTCTCTCTCTAATATACTGACTTAAGCATCGGAGGGGCCTTCCTCGGCGTCCCCCCCGAGGCTAGTTTACGTGTATTTGTCGTGCAGGAAACCCTCGGCACCTGCGTCGTTCGGACCGAGACCAAGTTCCCTCAAGATAAAAGGATCTTCCGAGATTCGATTGTTTTCATCCGAAACAATTTGGCGCCGTCTGTGGGGAACGCTACTAAATTTCGCGTCAGTCATCAAACACTCGGCAGTCGCCATGACTAAGAGTGGAAAGAGTTCCAAGAAGGCTAAGAAGGGAGGAGGCCGGATTACGGTGAGGGAACGCCAGCCGGTTTATCCCTCCCGGAGCAAGCCTCTTCCGAATCGGAGGCCCCCATTTCTCCGGAAAGGGAAGCCTCAAGAGGTCCTAGCCTCCAGGAGGAGAACACCTCGCACCACACTCGGCAGCCGGGGCCATCCCCGAGACCGAGGGCTCAGGTGCGAGGAACTCCCCGCCGCGCCATAGCGTGCAATCCAGGTCACATCCGCAGGAGACTCCTCCCTCCGGACCCTCCACCGAGGAAGTGGCCAGAGCAGTGGCCATCTGCATGGAGTTCCTTAAAGCTCAAGGGGCTCCAAATCCAGATGCCTGATGATCACCAGCCGAGAAACCTGAAAAGGAGGATCGGTCAGGATGATGGTGGACAAGTTCCACCACATAGACAGCTCGGCCAGAGGTGGCGAGGGGACACCCGAAACTCCAGTAAGGAGAGGAGGAGGAACCCTCAACCCTCTGACCACTCTGAAGCTCAGAATTCTATGGGGCCCTCCAAGGACCCGGAATTCGCCCGCCGAAGCATTCACGAACGCTTGGGTTCGAGGGAGGTGAGTGTGCATAGCCGCCTCACCTTCCCAGAGGATACCGGACCCCACCCAACCTTGTCTCAGCCGGGGACGAAAACCACTTCCACCTCTGAGAGAGGAGGGAGCGAGGTCCCTGAGGCTGGGTACAAGGGGAAGGCGGTCATGGTTCCATCGAACTCGCCCTTCCAGAAGTGGATTCTGGAAGAGCATGTGCCAACGGTCAAAATCCCGGCACATATTACTTACGATGGTACCTCAGATCCTAAGGATCACGTTGCCTCTTACGAGGGGCACATGTATCTGAACCCGAGGTCTGAGGCTACCTGGTGTAAATACTTTCCTACGACCCTCAAAGGTGTTGCCCAATCCTGGATCACCAAAGGGCTCAAGGAAGGCTCCATAACCGGTTGGAACGACCTCTCCAACAAGTTCAAGAGCAAATTCTCTACGGCCAACCGCCGAGAGAAGACCACTGCAGAGCTAATGAGTCTGCAGCAGGCGGAGGACGAGAGCCTCCGCGACTATCTGACTCGCTTCAGCAACGAGTCATCCGGAATCACGAGCCTGGATCAAGGCCTGGCCGTGTTCGCGCTACGGAACGGCCTCCAAGCTGGAAAGTTCCTG